AATGCAGCGCAAATAACATCAACAAGTCTAAAGCAGATATAAATACTTAAAAGCAGAAATAAAGAGGACATTTCATTTAGCAGAAAACTGGAATTTTCCTTTTTTGAAAACCTTGTGTCAGGGCAAGCTTGCGCATGCCTCAATTAAATCCACGAGATACCTACCAGCTCCCTCTAACAATAGGTATCATGTAAATTTGTCTATCAAGGCTATAACATATGGGAAGAAATCACTTACAATTGGTCATTTTCTTAAAATTGGAGGGTATTGGCGTACCATTTGTGATAGTTCAGAGATATATTGTCCTTTTTCAGTTTTCAAATTCTTTATCCTAAGCATTCACTTCAATAAACATTATAGTCTATCTCTAGAGTACTGAAGTATCACAATAAAACCTATAATTCCAATATCATTTAATACTCAAAAATATCACAAAAAGGTTATTCTTATAGCCTATCATTCCACCATCAATTAATACACAAAATTATTAAAAAAAACTTCCCCACCATTTCTTTTAACACTCAAAATCCCTTTGTTCACTTTTACTTGTCACGTTTTGCTTCTCAACCGTCAAACTATGTTAGACTTTGACCAACATTTCAAGACGTAATTTTTCATCACATTATATTATTAATATAAGAAGTAAGAAGGATGGAAACATATGATATTTTCCATATAATTTTCGAACGTCTAAATTTTTAAATTTAAAATATGGAATTAATCTAACTCAATTTAGCTCTGAATATAAATCAATTCGGGGTGAAGCAAACATGACAAGTAAAAGTGAACGAATGCTATCATTCCACAGTCATCTACTAGTAACCTACTTTTATACCTCAATACTGAAAAAGCAATTTTTCAAATTAAAATGTTTTCCTTTAAGCGAAAGCATTATTGTGCTTACGGAGGTGAATCTAGATGGATCTGGAAGCCATGGCTCAACTAATGCAGCAGCATGAAAAATTATTTGGCAACCGGAGCAAGCCTGGAGGAGTGATTGATAATCGGTGACATCTCCGAACACAAGCTCCAGGGTTCCGCCGCTACTTCCGCCGTCAGTTGGTGGAGGTAGAGAAGAAAGGTCGCTTGTACGGCGAACGAAGGCTTTAACATGGTGGCCGGCGTTGAATAACTCACGGCAGAGACGGCCACCGAGGTAACCGGAAGCGCCGGTTACCAATACCACTTTCTTATTCATTTGCACTTCTCCTTGCTCTTTTTAGTCAACCGTAGAACGTGTCTAATTTGGTACATGAATTTTACATGGGACCTTCATTATGTAGATACTTACTAAATACCCACTAATATAAGATATTAGGATTAATAGGCATGATGTAGAAATGAGAATATTCGAAATAAGGTGGATGTGGATGCACATGCACTAGTGAGGAGGTGCGAGAGGTTGATTATAGAAGATACGAGGAGAGGCAGAGATAGGCCGAAAAAGTATTGGAAAGAGGTGATAAGACAAGATAAAACTCGAGACAGAAGGGTGTGGAGGATTCACATTAGGGTAGAAGGGTAGAAGGATAGTAGGTAGGGTAGTATTGTCTTGCTTAGGGTGCATTGTCTACACTTAAGATGAGGGTCCTTCGAAACCGTCTTTCTACCTCCATGAGGTAATAGTAAAGTCTGTGTATATTATATCCTCCTAGATCTCACTTGCAGATTTCATTGGGTATGTTGTTGTTGTTGCACTATCGGGCCCATTCGGAGGTGAGCCTCCCAACAAGATTTTTTTTTTACCTAATACTCAAATTTGAAACCTCTGATTAAGTGGGAAGCAATTTCACTACTACATCACATGTTAAAAAAATTCACTAATTAATAATAATAAATAACTATTCGTTAATAATCATTTTCACATGCTATGAATATTTTCTTCATGCAGGATCATGGGCTTCTTTTATAAAACTTAAAATAATATATATAAAATGTAAACTCAACTTCTATATCAATTAAAATAAAAATTACAATTTAAAATCCTAAATTATTTTTTCGAAGAATTTGAGATTTGAAATCGAGACGGCACGAAAATTAGATGCGGGCCTGCATATTAGGCATGAATTACAAGCCCAAATTGTATCGCGATCTGGAAACCAAACACAAGTTATACGTAAAAAAAAACACAATAAGCGGCAAAAATTGCAGAATATTGTTCTACTATTATTTCAAAGATTCAATCTTTAAGAAGAAAATTTCTAGAGTTTCTTCAGCCAGGTAATCTCTTGATTTTTGTTCCTTTTTTGTTTGTTCAATTGTAATGATTAAATGGGTATTATTGGGTGAATTCTCAAGCTACAAACACTTTTTTTTTTAATTTGGGGATTGAGCTAATCAATTAAGAGATTTTCACCATTGTTGAGTTGGTAAATAAGAAACTTTAGACTATGAATTGGTTGAGAAATATGGAATTTATTATGAGTATGAGTTGTAGAACTAAATTGTTAGCCTAAATGGATTTATTTTGGGACTTGTATGGATATGTATATTCATAATATATAATGATAATAAAGTCTAGATTGATATTTGTAGATTATGTGTTGTTGAATACTTGGAGAATTTGGAGAAGTAATTTTGAGTTAAGTTTTGAGGTAAGTTAAGGCTTACTTGCTAAAAGAGAATTTTTTTTGTAAAATCCATGCCCTCTATGTGCTTGATAAAATTGCTAAAAGAAGATTATGACTTAAGTACTTGTGGGAGCAAGTGAATGCGTAGTTTAAGACGGTTTTACTCGATACAAACTTAGAATAAGAAATGATGTAAATACATGTAATATATGTTGTCTTATTTGACTAGTGTGTTGCTTGGCTTAGCTTTCTATGTCTACTTGTTATGTGGAATTGTTTGCAACATTTATGTTCAGTTCGTGCTTTTTTTACCGCTCCCTTGGTGACTCGAACCCACAACCTTAAGGTTGAAGGTGGAGGGTGCTTACCACCTGTGCCTCTTGTTCTAGATTCAGATGAGAGAGCTAGCTGACCTACCCTTGTGTGAGTGCCATGGAGGCCAGGGTTAGCTACCCCATGCTCGTAGGGACTTAATTGAGTCTTCCTGCTTAGCTTCCTATTTTTGTGATGTGTCTTCCTGTTTATCATATTTTTCATAAGTTGGTCAATTACTTTATGAACACTGAGGATAGAAAACATAAGTTGACAGTAAAGTCTTTAGCACATAGCTTCTGCTGACCTTTCTCCAATTGATACCATATTATTTCCCTGCAAGTGTTCTCAGGTGCTCAGAGTGATTTCCCGTGGCAAGTAAATATAAACATTGTTCTGCAAGCAGAGTGCTTGCAAATCAAACACTCTATCCTGGTGGGAATATGTTCTTTCTTCTACTTGGTGTCACAGAAAGAAGCTGTTTTGGCTTAAATGTTGTAACATAGTGGGTGAAAATGTTTCTCGGTTATGGTTGTGATACTAGATCTGTCACTCTTAGTTCTTGTCCTTGCACGTACTGAAGTCCAGACACTGACATATGCAAATTATAAGCAGAAAATGATTAACTGCTAAGTGAAAAAATAAATGGGATGTACACCATTGACTATGTGTACATAAATTGAGGTTGCCATATTGGAATTCTTCTGGCAAAAGAAGCGACTCCCTGATTAGGAGGCTGATTGCAACATTGGCTGCAGGCAGTGTTGTAGGAGGAAGAAGATTTATGTGAGCCTATAATCTTGTGTAAAAAGGGGATGATAGTCTGTACTTTACTTGTTAAGTTTTGCATCTTGAGAGGATCGAACTAGGTGCCATTAGTTTTGTCACTGAAAGGCATTATTGGCAGTTAACTCTCTAGGATGATGAAAAGGGGTAAAGGAGTTATCGCAGCAATTTATGTCCATTGTAGTTTATTCTTAAACTTAAGGAATTCAAGCTTTGAAAGGATGAGGGATCTATATACTGTACGGCTCCGTTGATCACTTTCTGAATCTTTTTTCCATAATTGTTGAGTCCTCTAGATCCTTTACTTCAAATTCTGAAATTGTAGCTTACAGGCAAATAAGTCTAGTATTTTAAGATGGCAACTTAAGACGCAGAACATTTACTTTTGCAGGGCCATCTGAAAGGCAATTGATTCTGATGTCAGCCATGAACCTCTCCCAATCTGATTTGCAATGTCTATGTTGCTTAGTGTTTCACTTTTCTGTACCTCGCTTGTGTTTCGTCTGTGCATTTTCCATTGATGATTGTTGTCTTTTCATGCAGACCATAAGTGAAGGGAAACACTTTAGGCATCAGCATGTGCTAACTAGAATTTGTCTAATGTCATTTCTGTTGTAACTTAGAGAAACAGGTTTGGTAATTTAAGTTCTCTCTCTCTTTCTGTTATAAATGGGCTTTCTTTTCTAGCAATGGCTTATATTTACTAACATTAAGGACCCAGGATGCACAGCGTATAGGATCAAGGCAGACAACATATACCTCTAGTTAACCCTCAGACACTTAAGCATCCTACTGGTATCACTCTCGGCTGACCCTGTTTTATTATCCTTACGCAGAGGGGGGGGGGGGAGGGGGGAGCTATCGAAAGTCTTGCAAGCCACCTCCTACACTAAGCTAAGCGAGCTAGAAGCTAAAGTGAAATCTTTTTTGGCATCTTTTAGCTTTGACCCTTAGAGTTTCCTAACCTGTTGACATCCTGGCAAAGAGAGTCATTATTTGTATTATATCTTCGAATAAAAAGAGAGGGCTTTCCTCTTATCTCTGGAGGGGAGAGGGGATCTGGGGCGGTGGCAACGAGCAAGTCGAGTGATAGGGCATATTGAAGGATTCAAGTCCTGCAGCCTCAATTACAAGAATGATCCCAAATTGCATAAGAATAGACTTTTCTTTTGTTATATTCTTTTGAACTTTGTTAAGAAGTCTTTTGTACACACATCTTCTTGATACTTGTCCAGAAAAAAATGGAAGAAAGAAAGAAACTGAACTTTATTCAAGATTCCACTCCTAATTTCGTGTTTTTTCTTGGTGTTTATTTGCAGTAAAGATTTTTCTTGATATAGGGAGCCATGATTTCAAGCAGCAACTTATTTCATAAAACCCACTATGAGATCCTAGGTGTGAAGGAAGATGCAAATTTGGAAGAAGTCCGTAAAGCCTATCGTTCAGCCATACTTTGTTTTCATCCAGACAAGCAACAAAATGCATCAGAAACATCCAATTCTGAATGTCTGACAGAGAACAAATTTTTGGAGATACAGAGAGCCTGGGAAACCATTGGCAACCCAAGGTCACGTGCACTTTATGACGCTGAATTGCTTACTTTGAGACAGGATGCAGCAATATCTGAAGATGTCAGCTTAGATGACCTTACAGTTCAAGATTCTGGTGATATTATAGAGCTTTCTTATCCTTGTAGATGTGGTGACTACTATTTCATCGATTCGTTTGAGTTGGCAGACACGGGTTGTTCAATATCAAGAGACGGGGAAATGGTATCTTTGCTAACGTCTAAATCGTTGCCAACATCTGTTGTGCTTCCCTGTGGATCTTGCTCTCTTAAAGTTCGCTTACTGATCAATGGTGATTCTAGGCTTCCCATAGATGTTCACTTGTAATTGTAACTGTGTTGGAGACACAATTCTCTATGATATTTTTGCTCAAATTGTTGGAAATTGAAATGACAACAAAAAAACAGGAAGTACGAAATTTGTTGAGTCTTTTTTTTTTCCTTGGTTACTAATTCTAAAATGGTTTGTTGGCCACATGACAGGGCTATTTTTTCATTTGTTTGTATCCAAATGCACCTTATATTTGAGTACTAAAATGCAATTTATATGCATGTTGAATATCTTGATTTTGATATAGGATACATATAGTCTAAACCATGAAGACAGGATTGTAGGAGAGCAATACAAACATCGTGCTGCTAGGGCAAGCAGTCTGAATGATGCACCCTAGATGACGAAAGTTAATCATACGCTCTGACTCGAATAGCACGAGGCACGTGGAATCCTATGTGAATATAATAGCTGAAAGCATCACTATCTTAAGCTTTGACCCAAGTAGCATGGGACACGTGGAATTGCGTGTATAAACAGCACTTTTTAGCTCTCTTCAGATTTTCACGCATTACGGACCCGTTTACCTTTTTTCAACTCTTTTCATTTCCTGAGGGGAAAAGTTATCAAAAATGGGCATTCTGGAAAGGAAAAGGCCATATTGACTTTTAACCAAACCAACATTTTTTCTCAAAGTCACTTTATAGTCTTGTACCATCTTCCAGTCAAGAAATATGAATGGACCTGCTACTGCAAGTGGTCATTATTTGGTACACTGTCCTCTTTCCCCCCTTAACTTTAGGCTGAAGTGAAAGCAATTCACCACAAATTTAGCATCTTGCTCATGACTAAGAAACACCAAGTTTACTTGTATGCAATAAGAAATTCAGAAGTCCATTGCTTTAGCTTCAGAAAATACCTTACAGGTTCCTTTTGCTCAAGTCTTCACCTTAAAAAGATTAAAGCCTCATATTTTCAAGATAGAAAGCCACTTTCAAGCAGAAATTTCAAATGGGAAATCAGAAGATAGATGACTAACAAGTTCGGTTTGCGGAACTTTTCACCTGCAAGTCTCATCAAGAAATATCAGCAACACTTCTAAAAACATGGGCTTTTGTCTTAATCAAGAGTCACCAAATCATTCTAAGAGATTCAAATTACTTGTCTCAACTGTCAAGGATGCTTTTGCAAACTGTCATTCTTTCAGGAAAAGATCACATTCAAGTCCAGAAGAAGATGATCCGATTTGTGACTACGATGATGAAGTACTCACTTAAAGCCATGTAATTCTTCCAAGTTCAATGCTATTAACTGCTGATTTTCTCATATTTTTCTGAAAACTGTTTCGCGGTTTTATCAGCAGGTATTTATATCAGCAGTGATAAGTCAATACATGGAGTTGAAATGCAGAAGAAAGACAACCATCACAACTGACAAGTTTACCTGGGCTTTCTCTCCAACAACAGGAGATTTCTTCATCTCTGCAAGACTAAGACAAAAAGAGGAAGATCAAGAAACAGAAGAAAGGGAAGATTTTTACTCTGTTGCTAGTAGTCTTTCTCCCTGCTCCAATGCTACAAGCTTTGAGGCATTTGTCACAGCTAAGACCGTCTTTTCTCGATCATCAAGCTTAGAAAGTATTGACTTCCAGGATCTCAGGAGGCATTCTGTTATCCAAGAATTATCTGACTGTGAAGGATGGCCGTTTGGTCTATACCGAAAAGCCTTGTTACTTCCACCTTTGCCAAAATCACCATCTGATTCTTGGTCATGGCGTAAGAGTGCTAGAATGGTTAAGATGCACTGATAGTTAGCATTTGAAATCAATTACCTCTATTCTGCGAAGCAATTTTACATTTTCCCTTGCGAAAGGATGCTTAATCTTATGTTTATGTATGAAGCATGAACTATGTTCTTCAATAATGGCTACAATCTTTGCATAACTCAGCTTCTTGATATAGTTCACATGTTCAAAAAGTCCCTTTTCTTGTCTCACACTTCTCAACAGGCTTACTTTTAGAATAATTATCCACACTAGTGTCAATCAAAGATGTTCATAGATTCAGTATTTCAGTTTGTTCAATTGAACACAAAAGAGATAAAAGTGAACAGGCTACTGCCACACAGTGCCATGTCCAATAATCAATCAAGAAAAATTAAATCACTGCGCCAAATTCATCAATAAACCGGAATCAATTGACATGAAACACTCTCATTCTGAATACTCAGGAAACTGTCTCCTTGAAGAAGTTATTAGGATTAGTATCAACTACATATTACTGCTATCACATCATAAAAGTTGTGAAAGAAGAGTGCAAATTAACGGATCACATTGATATCATCCTGTATTATCTATAACTTCCTTCTCTTTTTCCAGGAAAATGTTACGTAAGTGACTTAAAGGCAAAAACACTTCTGACTTTCAGCGATCATTGAAGGCTTATGCTCTTTGCTCAACATAGGAACCAGCCAGTCCTGAAGTCCCAAGTACTGTAACCTGGAGTAAGAAAGCCAGAAATCACTATGAGAAAACAAATACTGATAAAAAGTAATTGATAAAGAAATGGACATTGGACATAACTCAAACCAAAACGCTAGCTTAAGAGATGAGGATTGCTCAATACCATATAAACAGACTGACTTCCTAAATCTCACTGATATGAGACGCATGACCAGGACTAAACATCTGAAGTGTTGGCAATATAAAATGGGGGCCTAATATGGGTGAAACAATGAATTGGGATAGGGCCGATGCTAATACCATGATAAAAAAAATGGACATTGGGCCTAACTCAATCCCAAAAGCGCTCAAAAGATGAGAATTGTCCAAGACCATATAAAGCGACCAAATTTCCTAAGCCTACTGATGTGGGACTCTTAACAGTAATTTCTTTAAGAGATCCCATAACGTCTATTGTATTTTGTAGAAACATTCTCATTAGTGGTACTCGAGGAAGTATGATTTTGTATTTGAAACATCTCTTGCAAGAAAGTGTAAAAAATTAAAAATTACAACCACATTAGTTTATTTCCATTTAAAAAGGGTAGTCCGGTGGAAAAAGCATTCCGCGTTCATGCAAGGTGCCGGGATGGACTGCACCCCAGGGGTGTAATGTAGATAGTCTACCCTAATGCAAGCATTAATGAGAACTTCCACAGCTCAAACCCGTGACCTATTGGTCACACGGAAACAACTTTACCATTGCTCCAAGGCTCCCCTTCAATTAGTTTATTTCCATTAGAATGGTAAATTTTGTATCACAACAAAATGCTTAATGTTTTCTACATAAAAAAGTTATAATCTGGTAAAAATAAGTTTTTGGCCAGGGTCCAGGAATTGCAGAACTAGTTACAACAGTGAAATGCAACACAAATCTGGAACGTTTTGAAAAATGAATGGTCAGTAGACTAAGCGCAACAACAATAAAGAAATTAATTTTCCAGAAGAAACTGAACCCCACTCTATCAAAATATAATCTCATGTTGGCAGAGGTTTCTAAACTAATTATTGGATAGTAACTTTGTACGCAGAACATAATTTGAAGGCGCAGAGGATGAATCATACTGAATAAAATCAATTTTTTGAAACAAACCAAAAGGAAAATGAAAAGGATTACTTGACCACAAATTTAGAAGAATTATTTGACTTTCTTAAATTACTCAGGGTGTCCTCTCCTCTCCCTCTGCCACTTTAATGCCCTAATACAAGAGAAAAGTAATTCGGGTTGCAGATATCGCTTGTGATGAAATCATAACCTATTCATAGAAAAACTGAAATATGTGGAACCAACTTTGCTGAAATGTAGATTGTACCTTTCCCCATTCAGAATCAAGACCACTGCATCTCATTTTCAAGTGTATCATCTTTGTCCCTAGTTCCATCTCCACTTTCTTCTTCAAGTATACCTCTTCTAACCCAAAAGCACTCAAGTAGGTGTTGTAACGTTGAAGTATTGTTTGGAATGCTTCAGAGAATTCTTTTGACATAGGCTTCACATTCTGCAACAATATAAACAATTGAACAGCAAGAACTTGAGAAAATGTGAATGAAGTCCCTAGTTTTAAACTCCACTTACCTCACCACTTAAACCAATCGCGTCATCCATCTCCATTTTCAGAGATGTGAGAATCCCTGTGAACTCCTCCACTGCCTCAGCTGCACGGAAAACATTAATCAAGGCTTCCTGGCCAGCTTTGTCATCAGTACTTTTTGTCAATGCATTCTCTGCATCACCAACAACTGCATTTGGGAGCTCATCCCAGCTTGCAGCCATCAAGTCCTTAAAAGCTCGTTTGATCTCCAGATCTTCTATGTCAGGCATGTGGGCCACATCCTCACTAAAAGAGCGTGTGCTTCCTATTGCAGTTGTCAAAGGATGTCGCAATTCTAGAGTGTAGAAAAATCCATTTAGTTTCGCATTATTGAAGTAAGATCCCAAAAATCAAAAGCAGTACCATCTATCTCCACACGTGATCATTAAGCTGCTTCATGATTTGCAGATACAGAACTTGTGAAGGAAAAAGTAATCATTGAGGACCTTTCTACTCAATTAAAATCCTAAATAGTTTGTAGTAACCCTCAATCTAAGTAATGTTCTCCATAATCCAACCAAGGAGCCAGCACTAGTACATTTACACATGCCCATACTGATCACAGGGTGGGTAAAACAAAACATTTACCAAAACCATGCTCACTACCAAGACTATGTTTTTGCAATGGGCCAATGTCATGCTCCGAAATTCATTTGTGGTTTTCGCAGTGGGACAATACTATTGCAGAAATTCATTTGCCTTAGAAACTAGTAAAAACTACCTTCTTTATTATATAAGCTCAATTAGCACTCGTAGTAGGCAAGAATATGCCTGCTGCAATCAGAACAAGTCTTGGTTATGCCACTAGTCATGATCAGCTATATGAATCCTCAACATCCATTTGGACATGTCTCAATCTCAAACAAGTCTGATCAGCTACTATATGAATCCTCAAAATCCATTTAGACTATAAATTCAACTTCTCTAATAACAAGACATTTCCAATTTGAGCAGAATAAAAACATGATCTTTCAAATTGGGTATGTCCAAAAACATGGGAATATTCATAAGCAAAATCACAGTAAATATATGAAAAACATATGAAAATGCAAGTAACACGAAAAGGGTTTCTAGGAGAAGCTGAAAAATACAATCTTTTAAATTGGGTATGTCCAAGAACATGGGAATATAAGCAAAATCAAACTAAATATACGAAAAACAGATGAAAATGGTAGTACCACGAAAAGGGGTTCTAGGAGAAGCTGAAAAATGAAGGCCCCGATGGGAGTGGTGGTTGACGGCTGCAGCTGCGGCGGCGGAAACCGAGAAATCTGAAGATCTGCGACATACAGAACGATAGAGTGATTGTACCAGTTTCAATTTCTGCATTTTTTGCTAAGTTTTTGCTTTGTTTGATGAGCAGATTGAAAACTTCAGAGTCCCAATGAACCTAACAACTCCTCTGAAGTTGTGTGTGTAGTCACACATTTTGTTTTACTAAAATCAATTTGACTAACTTTCGATATTAAATTTATTTAATATTTTAAATTTATATATTTGAGAATTATATGAAAAATATTATAAATTATAATTGTTTTTATAAAATACTTCTATTATTCATTTGATACAGATCCTAGTCAAGGTATTCTCGGCCGACCAAGCGAAATCAATGTTTTCTTGGTCACAACCAACTAAGGCTAAAGTTTCATTAAAGAGTCTTTCCACGGGGTAGAACCTCTTCAAGAAATATAAGGTTTTCATAATCTTCGTAGTGGCTGATCGAATATAGTGATTCCTTCTCTTTTGGAGTTGTGGTGAGATACTGTTTTCCAGATTGTCATTGGTCTCCATCTATTATTTACCGTCTTTAACCTCCTTTCAAAAATTTGGGATGTATTTCAGAATCTAGAAATGTATTAGATGCTACCAGGTTTTGGAAACTTTTTTGTTGTTTTCTTATCGACGGTTGCCTGACTTCTCTTTGAAAATCTCGTATGTGTTGTATTTTTGGCTTACACACCATTTTGAAGTTATCAAGGTGTGTGCCCATCGTGACCTCGATTTTTGAATCGTGACAAAAGTATTGATCAAAGTAAAAATAAAATATGACAAGTAAAAAAGAAACAAAGAGAATATCAACTTGTAAATAAAATGAGTTAAAGATAATCTCATGTTGTTAATTAAAAGAATCACAAAAGAATCTGCTAGTAGTGTATTATGATTTATAGTAGTATTTTTCAGGTAAGTTATAAATATGTATTTCTTGCTTATCAGTTTTTGAATAAATAGAAGTATTTTTGTTTTCTCTAGAATTCAAACATGATATCTAGTGGGTCTTCATCAGTCATTACAATATTGACTATTAGGTCATGTTTTTAGATGTCTAAAAGAACAATAATTGTTTATGACTAGTTTTACAGAAAGAACCTTTGATTCTAACAAAATGCATCAATTTTACAAATATTTAAGATAATAAAAATGAAAATGAATGAAATAGGAACAATTAGAATACTTAATATGAGATCTTAGGTTACAACCTCTTTTTTTTTTTTCTTTTTTTTTTTGAGATAGAGGGTTCTTCAAAAATAGAACAATTGAAGAAAAAGAGAGCACTGTATGACTATGTATGTCACATGTATTTTGTCTTCTAATCGTCTTTATTTGAGGTAGAAAATAACATATTTAATGCATTTAGTAAAAGAAGATTCTGCTAAAATAATACAATATATATATATATATATATATATATATATATATATATATATATATATCAAAAAGTATAATAAATAGAAGTATCCTACCTCTAGACATAATAAAAGAATTTTCAGAACCACAAAGCGCCATGCAAATAAATGGATCGTCAAATATATATAAACATTACGTTAGTAATGCTCAAATAAGTTTTTTAAATATATATATATATATATTCAAGTTGTTCAAGTATAAACTAGAGAATATTACATAAAATGACTAAAAGTATTATACTTCATAAATCCATTGCAAAAAAAATAATTAAAAGGCAAATACATTTAAAGAAAATGAGTCCTTTCCCTATTGAAGAAATGGGCCAAATTCTTCATCAAGTCTTTGGACTTTTGAGAGTCCAAATCATGCAAATGAAATACATGGTCCTCTCCTTGTGTTTCATGAATCTCAACCACACCCATCCACCCGCTCTGGCCCAACGCTTCATAATAGGCCCGCCCTCTATCCTTCAAAATATCTTTTTCTGCCACACAAATCAAGACTCTACGACATCCCAGGCTCATTAAACCTGGTGCACCTTTTGCAATCGGATTAACCCTCGGGTCATCATTATCCGGATTCGACGGACATACGAACGACCACATTCGATCCACACCCGCCTTCTTATCAGGGTACAAACCCTCCGACCCGATTGGATCCGACCCCCAGAAATACGGGTGGATTAAAGCAACACCAAGAATATCAACCATAAGCTCTGGGTCAACACTTCCAACATTCATAGCCATATTATGTGCTATGTTAGCTCCTGCGCTATCACCAGTTAAGAAAACTCGTGTAAAATTTGCATGTGCATTCACCCAAGGCTCAGGGCCGTCGCCATTACAATGGGCGAAAACCCATTGTAGCACTTGCCATGAATCTTCATATGCAACATGTACAGGGTGTTCAGGGGGCCTTCTATAATGAACTGAAATCGCGATAACTCGCGATTCAGACACAAGGGTGTTAAGATAATTATGATAGAGTGATGAAGAGGGAGTGAACATACAAAATCCTCCACCATGAAAATAAATAACAAGTGGTAATGTTTTGTTTTTACAATTAATTGGGAGATAAATACGAACATAAACTTCAGAATTAGGGACTATATTTGAAATATCTTTTGATGAAACTCCAAATTGAGAATCAATACCTGGAGGAATTGCATCAATACCCAAAAGTCTCTCAACATGGCCATTTTTGTAAACTTTAAGATATGGTAAGAACTCATAATCAAGCTCTAAATTGCTTGTAGCCATTTAAATTTTAACCTTAAATTAAGTATAGTAGTTGATTATTATTTTTTGAAATTTATGTATTTATATTATGTTCAAATTCGTTATCTTTGTGATATCTATTGAACATTTTGTATCCACAAGTTTGTTATGCATATATGTTGTACTTAAGATAAGGTGAAATATTGGCTTATTGGCTGCTTTTTAATTGTTGAAAGTGATTTTCAGTGTTGGAAAAAGTTAATTTTATGTATTCGAAAGGAATGATATCTTTTTAAATTTGAAAATTATTTGATTCAGTCTTTTTATTTTAATCTTAACGATATGTTTTTACTATGAAATGAATGTTAATAAACCACTACTATTACTACTAATAGTTTGAACTTCAAGATATAGCGTCTCCGAATTTTGAATTGGAAAAGTTAACCGTTAGAACACGATATTTCTAAAAGTTGAACTTTATGATAATTCCTGGAAACAGCCTCTCTACCTCCACGAGGTAGTGGCAAGGTCTGCGTACACTTTACCCTCCCCAGACCCCACCTAGTGGGATTTCACTGGGCATGTTGTTGTTGTTGAACTTTATGATAATTAAACTCCAATCGTTATGAAATTTTGAAGTTTGCATTGAAAAAATAATTAAACTCCAATCGTTATGAAATTTTGAACTGAAAAACTGAACTTAGCAACATAATATCTTGGAATTATTAACTCAAAGTTAAATTCAAAACACAATATCTTAAAGTTTTAAATCGAAAAATTAAACTTCAAAATACATTATCATAAAGTATTAGGTATGACTAATAATTTATAAATAATGTCTTCCTTCCAAAAATAAAAAAAAAAAATATATATATATATATATATATATATATACGCGTTATATTAGAATTGTTCTTTTCACATGGTTTGTTGTGTCAATATCCCTTAATTTTGTGCATGACAGCATGAGCACTTATCTATTAATAAATAATTATTATTAAGGGATAAGGGTCTGGAAAATATCTTAACTTTGATCGGATTTGTTGTTGCAATACTAAACTTTCATGAGGACCTATTACCTCACTAGACTATTTAATACCGTATTTTAAACATATATATTTGCCCACGTGGACATAAAAAATAATGCAAAATTATAAATAGTAATGTGTCCACGTGGGCACATATATACCTTTAAAATATACTATTAAATAGTTCAGGGAGTAAAAAATATTGTATTAAATAGTCTAGGAAGGTAATAGGTCCTTATGAAAGTTTAGTATCGCAACAACAAATCTCACCAAAATTAGGGTATTTTTCAGACCCTTAATAAAGAAACTTTTGCTCTTTTCTTTTTCTTTCTTTTTGTCTATCTTTTTTTGTGTTGTTAATTTCATAATGTCTATATGTCACCGACAGTTCTATTTAGTTTTAAGAAAATTAATTTAAAAGAATGATATTTAATATTGAAACATTTTAATTTAATTTAATTTTTTTTCCATTATCTTTTAAAATATATGTTTTTAGTCACAAAAATATCATAACATGCATATTTAGAATCACAAATTTTAATTCTTTTTTTAAAAAAAAACAATCCTACATATTCAAAAACTGCTAACTAAATATTAATTCTTGTATAACTATGGATATATTACTAGTGCTAGAAAGTATATTACTAACCAAGCTAAAGTATAAGCTATGTTGAACTTATACGTTTCCGATGTGATGAGATGGTTGTGATTTCTTTGCTCTTAATTAGAGATTTTTGGCTTGAATTCCTGAGGAAGAAAAATATCTCGTTGGGAGCGTTGCTCCTAGAAATGCTCCCTGTAATTATTAAATTTTGATTAATCGAGCATCCATACAAATATGAAACACCAACTAAAAGTAGAAAAAAAATTGTGTTAAATTTTATGCAAGATTTAAATTAGCAACCAAACAAAGTATTAATTAATAATGCTGAATTTTTTTGGTAAAGATTAATACACCTTATACACCCAACTAAGGTGGTCCAAATAGGTTTAAATTGCATTCAATTTTGCAAGTTTGATTTGAATATTGTTTTTATTTTTTTATTTTGAGTTGCTTCTTCTTCTTACGAAAATTGAAGTACCAAATTCAATATACAATTAGAAATCCAAAAATTAAAAAAACTTAAATGCAGAATTTATCCACCATCTAAAAATACAAACCGAAAATCTAAAAAAAAAAATGAATTTCAATTATTATTATTATTATTTTCGAAACTAAGTAGGAATATAATTAATTCATTAATTAATTAGGATGCGTTTAGTATGGAGGAAAATATTTAGGTAAACAAGTGAATTTTTTATATATATGTGATTGGTATACAAATAAAAATTATTAGCCTAAAATATTTATATATATTTAAGACAAAACTAAGAACGTGGAGTGGGGTTGGGTAGGATTGAAAAAATGAAACTTGATTTTTCTATATTTTATTAAGGATGTCATTCTCCTTGGTTTCAAGAAGACTTATTTTTCTAAGAAAAATATCAAAATTTATTGATCATCAAACACGAAAAAAAATAATATTTTCCTTCGTATTAAACACACCCTTAATTTATTCATGGGCAAAGTTGACTTAGGAATTTCATCTGAATCCCCTTCAACAAAAAAATATATTATTTATTTATGATTAATCTTTTTTTATGCATATATAATACATATTGAACTCTCTCCAGCTAATCCGTATGTACTTCTTCACATTTTGAACTTTCTTAATTATAAAAATTCTAACTCCGCAATTGCTTTAATTATCTTCACTTTTGTTTCTTTTTTGGTCTTTTGTCACATCTCTTAAGACAACTGTCATAACCGACAAGTAGTTTTTCTTTGTCACCTTTGGAAAAAAGTGACAATCTTTTGAATTTTGAGAATAACAAGAAAATTAATAGATTAAAGAAATGAAATAAAAACATGATAGAGACAACAATAATAAGATTCCATATTATAAATTTCATAGCATTATATCATATCATATACTATTGAAACTGATCTAGTCAGTTCGAAATTTGTACAAATATTAATAAAAATCATCACTATCTTCATTTTTATTTTATATTATAGTACCTTATGACATATCTAGAATTTTAATTTCAAGATTTCAATTGACCATTTCTTTCTCCTTATTTTCCTCTAAAAACTCTACAAGGTAGATGAACCAATATTCAACCAAATTTTTTTCTATTTTTTTAAAAATTTATTCTTTAATTTCATCTGTTATTTTTATGGAGATTCCTAAATTATGGAAACCTCAGGTTAGTTTGTTAATCTAATTTTCATTAATTATATTGTTTGATCTAATTTAAGTACTTAAATAACTTGTGTATGATTCTTGTTTTTTTTTTTTTTTTTTGTGATTTTCAGGATTTATTTGTGATTAAATCACCTAAACAATCTTTGAGATTGGTCCTATTAGTATTTGCAGTGGTTTGTGGAATTTATATATTATCAATGTGTATAAATCAAACAAGTAATTATCTTTTACAAGCTAAATCACTAAGTATTCATGTGATTAATAGGCATAATTGTCATTATCCTATTTTTCAAGAAGAAGATATTCATTACTTGCATTTTCCAAAGCCTCAAACTTTTACCAGGTACCTCTAAATATATATATACTGTTCAGACTCTTCAAAAATGTTGTTGCAGTACTTGTGTCAGATCCTTCGAAAAATATTGTACTACTTTTGAAGGATCTGACATGTACTCTATATGACATTTTTGAAGAGTCTGAACAACATAGATTATTCCTCTTTTTGGTTTTAGCCTTATGTTGCTCAGACTCTTCAAAATATCGATTGGTACCATGTGTGACATTTTTGAAGAATCTGAGCAACATAGATTGTTCCTCCTTATGGTTTTAGCCTATGTTGCTCGGACTCTCTGTCTCGAATTCTGAAGGATCTGACACTGGTGTGACAACAGTTTTGGATAGTTGGAAGAACAGAGGTTGTAGTACAGAGTTAGATAGATTGAATTGGACTAAATGACATGTTTTTTTATTGAATTGTAGGGAGGAATGTGCTTGCAATCCTGTTCGATTTTTCACGATTTTATCGATGCAGAGATCAGGGAGTGGATGGTTTGAGACATTGTTAAATAGTCATATGAATGTGAGTTCTAATGGAGAAATTTTTGGTGCAAAATCAAGGAGGACTAATGCTTCAGTAATATTGGAAATTATGGATAATGTCTTTAATCTTGATTGGATTAGTAGCTCATCAAAGAATGAATGTACAGCTGCAATTGGATTTAAGTGGATGCTTAATCAGGTAATTAGTACTAATCCTATTTCAATTGATGATGTTTCGTGTTCGATAACGGTGGTGTCCTGTACAGTTTATGCATACTTCGACTATTTTATTATTAGTCCACCAAAATTGGGACAGATGGAAAAAATCACCTAGCTAGCGTTTTTCGCTTCTGCTGAGACTCTGTTTCATCAAGTCTAACGTCATCAACCACTACATTAGCCTTTCTCGGATGGTACCAGATGTTAATATCATAGTCCTTCAATAACTCAAGTCGTCTCCTTAGCCTCAAATTCAACTTTTTTCTGTCAAATGGACCTTAGGTCTAATTCAAGCTAGCTTAAGAAGAGAGGATTGATCAAGTTCATTTAAGCAGATCACCAATCCGTTAGACATAAAGACATGATTAGTTTCACAAATCTCGCTGATAAACTCTGTTTTTAGTCGTGTTTTCTTCGTTTAGAAGTGCATTAAGTTGATAATTTTCGACATTGTTAGATTGTTCTGAACTTTTTTAATGTGTATGAACTTGAAGGGAGCTTTGGAGTATCATGAGGAGATTGTGGATTACTTCAACAGAAGAGGTGTCTCTGCAATATTTCTGTTTAGAAGAAATCTGCTACGCAGGTTGATCTCGTTGCTCGCTAATTCGTACGATAAGGATGCTAAACCGTTGAATGGAACACACAAATCTCATACACATTCTCCATATGAGGTAAGTCCTTCCGTCCCCTCCTTCTCCTGTTCTCTGACTCTTCAAAAATATTATTGTCCTGTGTGTGTCGGATATGCATTTTTCAAGGGTTGACATGGATGAGGCAACGTTTTTGGAGGGTCAAAGCAACATAGATTAACAATGTGTTTGGTATGATGGAAGGAAATATTCTTCAATAAGAAGTCATTTTCTGGTGGAAAGGGAACCTTGACGTAACTGGTAAAGTTGTTACCACGTGAGTGAAAATAGCCTCTTGCAGAAATGTAGGGTAAGGTTACATACAATAGAGCCTTATGGCCCGGCCCTTCCCGACCCTGTGCATAGTGGGAGCTTAGTGATTTGCTATTGATTTCAAGGGTATATTCTTCGTAAAAGCATTTTCGAGGAAAACATTTTTCATGGTGTCTTACGAATGCGGTTCGTCGTGTCATTAACTTGACGTTTTAAACATGTTTCAGGCTAAAGTATTGGCAAAATACAAGCCAGTGGTGAATATGTCATTACTAATACCAAATTTGAGGAATGCACAAAGGAAGGCTAATAGAGCTTTGGAATGTTTTAAGAGCACTAGACACATTCTTCTTTACTATGAAGACATTGTTCAAAATCGCACCGTAAGGCTTTCGTATTCTCTCTGTTCCAATTTATATGACATTATCATTACTTTAAGAGTCTAAACAACTTTTTTTCCTCAATCATCTTAACCGCGACAAATTACAATTTTTTATATATATTTGACTCTCTGCAGAAACTAGCTGATGTTCAAGAGTTTTTGGGGCTGCCACAAAGAGAACTCATAAGTGGCCAAGTTAAGATTCATAATGGCCCTTTGTCCCAACAAATAGAAAATTGGGATGAAGTGCAAAAAAGGCTCAAAGGAACACCATATGATACATTTCTTATAAAAGACTAACTATATACTAAACTATAGAGTAATTACCACATACAACATATTTGATAGAAAATTGGCTATGGAGATTCAGCGCGGTTAGAAATTAAAACAAACATAAAGTGCTTCGATAATGGACCAGACCTCTTGATAGAATTCGAAGTTGGATGAAGTTCTAACCATCTATCAGAGAAAAAAGAACGGAGATCGTAAGATGTCCTGCCCAATTCAATCTTGTAAATGAACATGAGACTCAATTATTATCAAATTTTGAGTTGCTCTTTTTTGTTACATTTGCTTATAGAACATTTTTATTTGTTATTCATATATACATCATACATGAAATCAAATACTTTTGAGAGTTTTTTTCTCAAATAACATGCAATCCAATAGACGATGACTACTTCACTTATTATTTAAGTATTAGCCGCCTATCCTGGAATGGGATAGAAAGAGGATAAACCAAGTGTCCACTAATCGAGGCCCGCCTTTTAGCACTTCCCTTCCCAAAAATGGACCTTAGGCTAACTCATCAAAAGTTAGCTCATACGAGGCGAGGATTGTCCAATACCAAAATATAGATAGAATTCATTCCTTATAACAACGCGGAGAACTTTACAATGTGCAAGATGCTAACTCTTCAACATAGCGTTCAATTCAAGTTGAACATGTTCCAACTAAATCATGCAATGCTGGTTTTTCTCATATTCCCAGCAGCCAGAAGCCACTAATACTACTTTTACTGACGAAATGAGAAACATTAGTCCATTTCGCGTAACATACAGTACTGTATATATTTGATCTGAAGTGTCTAATGACGAAAAGCAAAGATGAACATTAGTCCATTTCGCGTAGTATACAGTACTGTATATATTTGATCTGAAGTGTCTAATAACGAAAAGCAAAGATGAAAATTTTCACCTATGATTTCAAGGAACATTTGTCACAGCTCTTCACATATTCGATTTCTTTCAAAAAAGGTTATGATATCAATTACCATCTAAATTCTAAAAGCCTATATGTACAAACTGACAGTAGAAGAGTCTTGTAATCAAATGAGTTATTGATTAACTGACCCGTTCGCTAATTCTGAATCATGTTTTGCAGTCTTTTCAATCACAAATTGGTCAATAATCCGTACAGTATCTACAGGATCTTGATTAGGGGAGGATGCTCTCCATTTGCTGGGGAATTTCTGAAGGTAACTTGGATCCTGCGGATGTTTTGACTCTCTGTCCCATTTAGGATCCAGTTTCCACTCTTTCGGAACCTACAAATAGACAGATATTATTAGAGGAATTGCCAAATGTAAACAGCTCGAGTCCAACTTTCGATAATGCACTTGACCTTTATTATCACAGAAAAGTGTCAAAATACCTTATCAACTGCAAGGGTAAAAACTTCAAGATCGCCTTTGTTGTTGATATGAAACCGTGTAAATGACTTGTAGTTAGCAATACGAAGTGATGAAAAGGCTTCGTCGAAATGTATATGAAGCCAATTAATGCAAATGTATAGGTAGCTTCCGAATACCAAAGAAACCACCGGAGTTGAAAAGACCCAAAAATAAAGGAAGACGGATGCATAATAAATTACAGCACCCCCTCGAGATAGTGAATCCACCCCATTCTTGCAGATAGTATTCCTAGTAACTGCCATTACCTGAAAACATGCATAAGATATAATTAAACGATTTGAGTCATCACAAAGCAATACTCTTATGGGGAATAATTCTTACCTCAGGAACATCAAAAGCAGACATGAGATATTTAATACATGCCGGGTAAAGGCCAAATGTCCAGTGTTCTATTCGTTTCTTAAGACCTGTTGGGTCTGGAAAATGCTCACTCTCCACTGATTTGTACCATTCATATAAAGTATGATAACCTGGATTGCAGCATTCAGTAGTTAGGAAAGGAAATACATAGATGCAAAAACATGAAACAAAGAAATCGGCGCTTAGCTAGGTAATCTCTCAAGAGAGGCTCAAGTAAAACTCAGTTTTCAATGGAGTAGTTAACTAATGGATTCAACTTTCAATGGAGTATCCTAAAAGCATTCTGATATAATCTATACAAATATTATGGGAGGTTAGAGAATAGGGGTGTGGGGTGGGAGGATGGGGCTACGAGGGTGGGGTTGGGGGGAAAGTCGTGAAGATGAGGTGTATTGGAGAATGGGCAGGACACACTCAATGTGGAATATCACTTGCGGAACTTGTTTTCCGTACTTCCACTAGGGAAATCATTTTCCCTCGTTTTGAAGGAACTTGTTTTCCTAGAGAAAATGTTTTCCAAAAATTTTGACCAACCGAACATGGAAAAACACACTCAAAGACAATCACAAAATAGAAACAAAATACAAAATCTCACCAGAAGTTGCAAGTAGTTTATGGCGAATACATGTCTCAATGCCTAATTCTAGCAAGAGCATAAGAATCACAGCTGCAGCTAGGTGTGCAGACACATGAAGAATCCCAATTACTACTTTCTTTTTCCAAGGCACCGTGGATGGCACAAAGGATATTGCAATTATTAATAGCAGCACCGCGCCGGTCAAGGAGACATATGAGCGTCCAAATATATACATAAATGTACCCCACACTGTGTCGAAGAAGGTTCCCATGTGACCCGAAAATGTATCATCCTTGAAAATGTGATCAAGCCGACACTAGAAGCAAATGGGAAATAAAACATTTAGTTAAATGTGTTACATGAACTCGTCTAAACTGAACATTATATTAACATAAGCACACATTTGATGTACTTGACAACAAAATAAAAGATCAGTTGATGCATAAAAGGCACTTAAATGTCGGAAGCAATAAAAACACAACTGAAAATCATCAATCCGTAAATTTATACATTGGACCAACAACATTAATAAATAAATAAAATAAAAGAAAAAAATCATAAGGTCATAATTAAGAGTAAGCATTCTAAATTAAACTTTACCTCATAAAAAAACAAAAAACTCAACACGTTTAACTCTTAATGAACAGTGATTTTGTACACTCAGATGGATAATTTAATGATGTTTAAAATAATGTATCATAAAGTTAAACATCACAATCGAAAATAAATGTCTAATACATTATAAGATTGATAAGTTTACAATACATAGAAGGAAACAACTGATATTTCAATGATAATGATCAGATATTGCAACACAACATTTCCACGACCTAAAACTAAGAGATATAATTATTGGCATAATACATAAAATACAACTCAGATTGCGCCACGGGCAAGTAAGCACTCCAACTTTGAGTATACATATCTAGACATCTCAAACTCGTCTCCACTATGTCACTTGAAAACTCCAACTTACCAAATGATCATCTAGACACCTCAAAAGCTTATATGACACATCAGCGTCGAGTGTCCACAAGACACGGTTGAGACAAGTTGGAGTGTTTAGTTGTCAGTTGAGACTAAGTTGAGGTGTCTAGATGTGCACTCTCAAAGTTGGAGTGTTTACTTGTCCGTTGAGACCAAGTTTGAGTGTGTGTTTATTTATGTATTCTGGCTAAGTTATTTTGAGATACAACTTCAACTTAAGATGTCATATATTAGTTTTATCAAACAGCCCCTAACTGAGTTACCATGAGGGAGAGTGCGGATTATGATACCTAAAGTAATCCTAAAAAGAAATAGATCAAAAATCAAATAGAAAGTTACCTGGGGGAACATAGAAAAGGCCAACATGAAGTATATGATGCCACCAATAAAATCAAATTGCCAATTTTTCTTCCTAAATTTCAATATATTTCCCAAAGCAATCTGCAAAATAGCTATAGCATATTACAGGCGTATTTACAGCACTAAATAGTCTGTCTATATAATATAAAGGAGATTGATTACGTACCCTACTTGAATCTTCAAAAGTTGGGTAAGGATTTTTACACTCATAGGTCGTTCCGTATAAATTGTTGAAATTCTTGAAGACATGTGTCGGATGCAAAAAAGCACCCCCACAACCATTAACAAGTAAGTGCTGGACATAAACCTGTTTATCTGATTTCGATTCAACAAACTTATGGCGCATATAATGATGCACATCCCCAGCAATTCGAAGTCTACATCTCCCGTTTAAGTGGTCACGTATCAAGTACGAGATATTCTTTCCAGTAACTTGATCGAAGTACCAATCGAGAAGCCAATTAGGTTCATGTGTCATAATGATCACAGAATCATTCTCGCCAACCTGAAATCCGTTAACCAAGGGTTAAAGTTTTCAACTCTATAGGGGGATTGGTTGGTTTGGGGTTGGGGGGGGTAAAAGAAGACATGGTAAATGCACAAATTTATAAGAACTCAACAAGTAAGGCTTGACGAACCCATAAGCACCTGCAGCTATCTAAATGAATATTATAGAATCATACTAATTCTGCAAACGCCAAATCTATGGATAATTAGTTCTCTCCTTATCCAATACGATCACCATGCTCTTTTCAAAGTTCAACTAAAAGCTTGAATTTTTTTAAATAAGAACAGAAAATAACGTAGATGAAGTTTGAACAGAAACTTCCAAGTTAATATAGACAGTCTTATTAACAGTTTTTACTGAAAAAAACAGTGATATCATTTTCCATTTACTTCTTAACATCCGCAAAGAAGTACAAGAATGACACGCTTATATTGAGAGGCATCAAATTGCTCCACTTTTTCTTCTTCCTTGTTTAAGTCCTTTCTTTTTAAGAACCATATCAAGTCTGTTTGGCCAACCTTCTAAAATCAGCATATTTTGAGAAGTGTTTTTTCAGAAGTGCTTTTTCAAAAGGTATTTTGGTGAGAAGCAGTTTGTGTTTGGTTAATCAATTTGAAAAGCACTTTTGAGCAGCAATTAGTGATTGGACCAGCTTTTAAAAAGTGTTTCTAAGTGTATTTTCTCAAAAGTACTTTCGGGGAAAGCTGCATTTTTAGCTTTTGAAAAACAACTTATGCTACTCCCCAAAAGCACTTATTTTCTCCGCTTGGCCAAACACTTCACATTTTAAAAAAAGGGACTTTTGGCCTCCCAAAAGCTTA